GTGATCAGTAAGTTTACGACAAATATCAGCATGACATTTATAAGAAGAGAGGTTATATTTTCCCTATTACAACTTTCAACGTTAGCATTAACATTCATCAAGATTTAACAACTTCAACATTTCCTAACGAAGAAGCTTAATACCGATTCACCGTAGGTCAATGTTAACATTTGGCAATCCAACCATGTAATTTGTAACATCAGGTCAGTTTCACATGGGTTTTCCCCTTAGGTTATTGCGTTTGATTTAATATTGATCTAACTTTTCCGGTAATGGATTTAATGGTGCATTTTGATGGTGGAGCGGTATTGGTGTCGTTGATGCTGCTAACTAATATGAAGGTTCATAAAGATCATCCAAGTTTTCCTAATTAAATGCCACAAAGTCTTTTTTTTTTAAAAAAAAAATTTCAATCAGGTTGAAATTTAATTTCTGTTGAAAAGTTTATGGATACTCCGTAATATGTAAAAATTACAAGTTTATTATAAGATTAAATTCGTTAATTTTCGACAAGAAAAGATAAAAAAAAAATTAAAAAATAAAGGTTACGAAGAAAGAAAATGAAGTAGAGGAAAGAGGAGTGGCTAGCAACTTTTAAAGAAATCCATAAATTTCCGATAGTTACACAACAATTAAAAAGAACATAATTTTTTAATTGAAAATATTTATAATACTACTGTTCAGTTTAAAATAATAATTCACTATATTTTTTGTAGTATAAAGAAAATATTTAAAATAATATAATTCTTTTATAATTAATAGTTGAATTGTAAAAGCAAATGAAGTAAATAAAAATAAATAAAAGGAATGAAATTAAACATCGAGATAGTTTTAGAAAAATGAGAAAGTAATAAAGTAATATCCAACACAACCAAACACCACAATATTATTATTATTCGACCATAATATAAAATAATACTTTTAAGAATAATTCAAGCCAAAAGAAAATTTAAAGAAAGCTAAAGTAGTGTTTCAGGCAAAACTAGTTTCGCCAAATTGATCTACAAAACTCTTTCCAAATTTAGGGTTTCGGATAAGTTTCGGATCATAGAAAAATTCTTTGGAGCGAAAACGTTTCTGATGTTGAAAAATAGTTTCGCCTGAAACACTGAGCTAAAGGATATTCGATACTGAAACGATCGAACCTGAAAATGAAAATAATAAACATAAAAAGGTAGAATATTTACAAATAAACCAGTAAAAAAAATCACATCGAGCAAAAGTAGAAAAAAAATTAAACTAAAAACTGAAAGCGATCCATAACAAAATAATCATGTAAACGTGTAAATATATGATGTAAAGAATTTTTTTTTATTTATTACATTACATTGAATTTCCTTTTTCTCTTTATTTATTCACTATTAATTTAATACAGAGAGTTTTCTTTAATGTAAAAGATTTCAAGATAGTGCATTATTTTACTATTCAATGACATTTCTAAAAAGAATTTCAATTATTTTTTTTAAAAATAATATTTCGCTATAGCTTAAATGTAACAATAACTCCGTCATGGTACTACTTTTTAAACTGTTTTTAAAAAAAGTTAAGGCATTGTAAACCAGCTATCCGAGCCATAAATAAATATTTTAAAGAAAAGATTTTTTAATAGTAAGTAGTATAAAATAAATAAAGAAGTTTGAGTGGATTGAATAACTGCTGACATCTTGCCTCTAGGTATGAACCAGGGTAGTTAAAGCTTACTCCCGCGCTCTGGGGAAATTGGGCACATAGTTGATATAGCCAACTACCACCTAGACCCCACAAAGTCGATAACAAACCCTGATCCAACATGGGAACCTTTAGCCGGAACATCTATCATAACATGGGTGGATAGGATCATCAGCATCCCATGGAATGAATGAAAATCATTCATTCACCTTGTTAGAAACTTGTTGTCATAACAGCATCCAATATTGCACGTTGTGGGAGTCGTACCCGAGGATAGCTGGCTAGAAAATCTCACGCACTATCCCACAACGACAATACTCATAAGAAGTTATAATTATTTAATTTCGCATCCCTTTATATCGTTATATTCACGTGATTAAATATACAAATGACTAATGATTTAAAAAAGTATATATATTTTTTATACTTTTTATCATGGAGAAAATTTTTAATTTTTTTAAAAATATATTTTCTTTATACTTTATACCGTAGTAGAATAATTGTTACTTTGTTAAAAAACATATCTACAAACCATGTTAACGATATTACTCCAACTGTAAAGGTAATTTAAAATTTTCATATCCTCTTTAGCTTATATAAGTTACAAAAAAATAAACTCACTCTCTCGTTATTTAACTTTCCGCCTACTCTTCAATCCTTGGAGTTCCTACAATTTAGTTGTATAAATAGACTACAAACCCACTTGATGTCACTTGATTTAAAAAATGGACGTTTCAGCTCATCAATAGTTAAAATTACGCTCGAAAAAACTCAATATCATTTTCAAAAGCAAAAACGGATACTCAGATCTGCGAGGTTAATTGATTCTAATAACAATTATGCTCATGTTGAAGGAAGGAATACTCATTTCAATCTGATCAAAAAGTTCAAAAAGGAGAATATATTGTGTTGATAGGTGAAAGATTCAAGGTGATCGCGGATACTATGTTAAGAGTTACCGGCATTTTAAACCTACGAGCAAATTTGATAGTTGGACTGAATTCCGTATTGAACTGAAACAAAACTAAATGGTCTCATCGATGCCTATAGATTGATATTTGAGAAATATCCAATTGAAAGTTATGTTGATCCCGAGCAAGATCGTTTTATCCATTTGAAAATCGTTCTCGATATTAAGGATGAAAAAGTCGAAAATTATTGAGGATTACATTACTGAAACTTTTGAAGGTTTTGAAGGTTTGAAACGTACTACAAAAAAAACCACCTCAATATTAAAGAGATTTTCCACACCTGTCATACCTTTACAAGAGCTTCATATTGAGCATTTTTCGAGATGTTCATCAAATCACAAATTATGAGAATGGATCATTCAATTTTGTTGTTTAATTCCTATACAATTTGCGATAGCAAGAAATAATTTATTTCAACCTTTTAGGGATTGATTATCTTCAAATGATATGGAACATGATGGTAGTTACTGGTCATCATGTGGATAGCATAGCAATGAATATTTCTTTTGGATGGTATGAAGGGATATTTAAGTATTTTAGTTATAAAAAAGTAAAAGTTGTTTCTAGTATGGGTGAACAATCGTGCGGAAAATCCTTCATGTTAAATCATCTAATTGGAACTACCTTCAACGGCTCCGCAATGGTAATTAGTAATAAAATATCTCCCCCTTCCTTTTTTTTTGTAAAAAAAAAAGCTAATTTATAAATTTTTATTTCGGCGTTGCGTTGATAGAGTATGGATGTCATTAGTCAAACTAATGAATTATATTAAGTTATGATTAATTAATTAAACTCTCAATCTCTTTAAACAGTTTACACCAAGGACTATATTTATGTTAAAGCTTCTCGAAAAAAGTTCTCAAGAAGGTAAAATTACAAAACTTATTATTCTTCATTTTAGACTATTCATTATATTAATATATCCAATAAATCTTTTAGATATGTTTTTTAACACTTTCAATACGGTGATATCAAATCTTAAGCTCTTTAAGATGATTGATTTTATATTATCTTACTACTACTTTCCTTACATATTTACTAATGAAATGAAATTTTTATTTTCAAAACAGAATAAATTTACCGTAAATAAGGATATGTCTTCAATCTTTCAAAGATTTCACGATGGCGCAATGTTATTTGATTCAGATACAAAAATATTTAAGGTATAATTCAAATATTATTTATATATAATCCAAATGTATGTGTCGGGAAAAGTCGAATTTATTTAATATTTTAATTATTTAGGAAAGGCTTTGTATCATCATAAAGACGTGCTTAAGGCCGAAAAAGAAAACATTGTTATGGAATTTCAGTCAAAATTTCTCAATTGGTTTCTGAGGTACATTTTATTATATTATTTTCAAAGGTTTTTGTTACGGCTTTATTTATTTTTTAATTTTTTTTTTAGAAGGTAAAAATAACTTTATTTCAAGGATTTACAAAGGTGGACTGGATATCAATCCTTGGCCAATGTTTAATGATGCTGGATGGTTTAAAACCTTATCTAATGTTAATAAAGATTTAGAGAAACAGAAAGCAAAATATGAAAATGCGCGATCCTACTTACAAAATACAAAGTTGATCATGGCTAAATAGAAGGTTCGTAAAGTTATCCCGTTTTTAGGAAAAGGAATTCCATACTTATATTTTTTATTTTTTAGATATGTGAATGGGATTCGTTAGAATAAAGCCTCATACAAATTCGTGTCGCAACATAAAAAGGATTACTGTCAATCGCTGTTTCTTATGGTTTAGAACAAATATCTCCTGATTTGAACTTCTCAAAGTAAATTTATTTTGTAATTTACGTCTTTAAATAAGTTTATAAGCTAGAGATATTTAATTAAATAATATTTACTTCTTTATTTCTAGAACCACGATACCGGAGAGCTAATTGAAGACTCAAAACATAAATTATCCAAGATTTTATTTGACTTCAATGGATTTGATGATGAAATATTAGCAGATACTGATATTCAATTATATGAAGACCACATCTTTTGTCGAAATTTCTGATGATTTAAGAGAGTACTTCGGAAATTACGTCCAATCACGAGAAGTATCTTCCAATGACACGAAATGGTCTATTTTTTTAGATATATCGTTGAGCGTCGCGTTGCACTCGTCACGGATTGGTATAGACAAAATACTAAAATTTTCCACAATAAAACAGTGATATTGTTAACGGAAGGTTTGCAATGGAGGAATTAAACAACCTTACACGATTGTGGATATTGTGCGGAATTACATGCTATCAATGTGGCTTAAAATGTGTTAAAAATCGTGAACACGAAGATGAACATGATTGTTTGACAGATCATAAGTGTCATTTCAATTACCAGTTTACTGAATAACATAACCATAGATTAATTCCGTCATGTAATTACAAGCTGGACATGAAGGCATGCACGTTTGTAATAGAATAAAATCTCATTTATGTGGTCAAAAATGTAGTCTTCACAATAAGCGTAATTGTCTAAAAAGGACATCATGATGAAATATATGTCAATCGACACGTCATTTTTATGAAGAAGATTGTTCATTGTCAAACAAAAACTCACAAAGGAGTATATCTTATAATTTTTTGTTCAATTTTTTTCAATCTTAGTATTGTAAAGATTTAGGAAGGCATCGACATGTTGATTATTGTCAAAACGAAATGGCTTGTAAATCTGGACAGGATATTCAGCTTATTAATAATAATGGTAATTTAAATTTGTATTCAAGTTCTCTTCAGTACCATTGACTCTATTTTTACTATTTAATAAATTATAGAAAAACCTATTAATGATCAACCGCAAGATCTCATTTATCATAGTAACGTACAGGTTTTAAAGGTATGTATTAATTCTTCAATCTTTTATTTAATGTGCATTTTTTTAAATAATTTTTTTTTTATTATTCCAGATCCTTATTCTTGTTCAGGAACAACAAGAGATTGCAAAATGTGATCACGAATGTTCCGATGAAAAACATTCTCAAGGGTCTACAAACGCCCAAATTAAATCATTTTGTGAATTGCCACTTTTCCATGCTCCATTCGATCCAAGAACACTCCAAATAACTATGGACATATATCTTCAGATGGGCATTATTATAATTGTGAAAATCCAGATACATGAGAAGCTGCCGCTTTTCATATTGTTTTGTCTTGGATCGATCGGAATCTATTTGTAATGATATGAAGCCTTTACCGTGGACTTTTATTTTTAAGGAAATAAAAGCAAATCATAATAACAGACTCGGTGCAGCGGTAAGATTTAAAATTAAAGAATTATTTCTTTTTAATGTATAATTTAGGTATACCAATTTATGGAAACACGTCTTACTTCCACTCAAGAAAACCAGAATCAATTGTCACCCACTTTGCGTGATAGCATTTCATTAATCCTGTTTGATCATAATGTTATCGTACCACTTGAGAATCGAAATTTAACAGAATCGGGAGCTTAATTGAAAACAATGGTGGTGGAAAGAATTTCGATCTCATAATTAAGAAAGCTGGTGATTTTATTCTGTTCTTATTTTGATCCTACAGAGTAGGTTTCTTTATTTTTGTGTAAGTTAAAATTTGAAATGGCCGTTAATGTTTGCTTATGAATTTTCTTGTCCTCCTTTTTAGGAAAAATGTCATTATTCTCTTATCTGATGGGGAATGTGGTATTCCAACAACTCAACTTAAAATTATTTGTAAGATGAATAAAATTGGTAATTTTCATCAAATCTTTTAAACTTTGTTGCCTTAAAGCAATTATTAAATTAAATATTTTTGGAATTCTTTTTAGTTCCCAATTATATCTCTATACAGTATCAATTAACAACGATTCACAAAGTCAACCATTAGAAGAGATGGCAACCTTAAGTGAAGCACTTGAACCGGTAATTATCAGGTGATCTAATTTAATGTGACTACCTTACATTACGATCGATGAATTTTGGAAATTTTATGTTTTGTAGTCAGGTGGTTTTGCTGTTCGTAAGTATATTTAAAAAGGGTCGAATATATATATATAAAGGTTAACTTAAACATGATTAATGACACAAATACAAAAAAAATAAACTGTAATTATTTAAAATTAAATTATTTGCGTATAAATAAAAATTATCAAATTTAAATAAAAGATTACTTTCTGCATTAATATTATCCTTAAATTTTGAGAATTCAACTATAATCGGGCCGAGTCTAATTCGTATTCTGTAAATATTGGGATTCAAGTTCAAATATATTCCAAATTCGGCCCGATTCGACCTTTACGAAACACTAGATAATATTACAAGAAAATCAATCTCACATACTAATTTATAGCTCACTAAGTTTGTTAATGACACAAATTAGTAATTACAACACAATCCTTTCCTAAATGAACATGAAATTTTGTCCTTGATTGCATCTGGTTTGTTTAAAAAGAAATCCTTACAAAATTGATTGAAAGTTTTAAAATCAATCATTCCCGAGCTTATATAATTAAAGATGAAATCATTGAAAATTTCTTTTAAAATATAGAATTTGCCCTTAGATTGTTTATTTAATTATTCCATATAAATATTTTCTTCGCTATTTTAATTTCTCTAGTCAATTCTATAATAATAAAAAAATACATGTAGATCATCATCATTAACGTTTAGAATACTCGTATAAATAAATTTTTAAATTGTGTGACCCTTAATTTTCGTTACGTTTAGTTCAACGAAATGCAGAGAAGAAATTTTCTATTTTAGCGTAGTGATGATCAGGTCACTAAACATTTTTGGCTACAAGAAAAGTATATCCGATTTTGCTATGGTTCATCTCTTAGCTTGCAATGGAAGACTGGTTTGGACTATAGATTTGTAATTAAAATTTTCTTTTCTTCTTGTCTCTTTGAGTACTTATTATTATTAATCCAGAAATTCACAGAAATGCAAAAAATGCAAAAAATTTTTTTATTTAGTAAAAAATAGGAAAAACATATTAAACGTTGCACATGACAAAAAAAGTTCACGCGATTTGTGTGACATATTTAATATTGATTACTAATTCTTTGACTGATGATAATTAACTTCCGGTTGTACTAATCCTAATAAATAATAGTATTTTTTTTTGTGATAAAATTGTCAACAGTAGATATAATTACTTATTTTTTTAATATGCAAAAAAAAAAATTTTTCTGGGGGGTACCCCAGACCCTCCCCCCTTCTTAGGCTTTTTTTTTATTTTATTATATTTATTTATTTTCACCCTTAATTAAAACAAAAGTTAGATTATTAAAAATCACTTATAAAAGCGAATCAAAATTTTATTTAAAGATGTATTAATATATAATTAACCCAACTCATTGACCTAAGGTTGCCGGGCAAAAACCCGGAGGTTTCGACAGGCATCGAAATCGAAACCCATCGAACGTTTTGCCAAATTTTTTTATTAAAGGCAAAATTGCGAAAGTTTCGACGGGTGGCAAAAGTTTAGATGGGGGCAAAGTTTCGACGAATGACAAATACCCATCTTATTAAATATACAATTTTTTAATTTAAAAATTTATTTGTTTTTACGAGTTGGGTTTAATTTTTGACTAGTCTTGGTAGGAATAATATTACTATTCAAAAATATTGAATAAACTATTTTAATGTAGCGCATAAGTGCGGAAATAGAAGGATTGAGTCGTAATTACATCACCATTATTTATAATAAAATTTCTTTTTTAATATAATTAATTGTATTTAAGAAAAATATATAAAATTATAAGTGGAATTATCAAAGAAAAAAAACCGAAAAACCTAACCTATGCGATCCAATAAAAAATAAAAACAATTAATTATGGAGTGGAGAAATAATAAAATATTATATCGCAGCGACCTGATATTAAAAAAAAATTCATATCGTTTATTTATGAAATGACCCAAGTCGAAAGAGAACCTAATGATTAATAAAAAAAATAGTTTTTTTAAAAAAAATGAAAAAAAAGCTTTCGATCGCTGTAACCAATATTATACTCGACGAAGACCGACAGGTGATCCGATAACACATATAAAGTATTATGGAACACATTTCTAACGGGATTTCTAAGAATGGATTCTGAATATTAGTAGATGATTATCTTGTTATGAAATGCAAGTAATTATTTTTTAATGTTTAACATATTAAATTTTGAATTTCTTCAAAGATAACAAGCGCGCACGCAAAAATGTTTATAAAGCGTTTGACGAACATGTCAAAGCTCGCGCGCTTCCAAACGTGAGAGTTCTTTTTTATAGGTTTTCATTCAAAATTGACGATGATTTTGAAGATTTTTCACCCGGAAGAAACTGAACCATTATATTTCATCTTTAAGGAACATATTCTATTTGTTGAGAATCCTATATGAATTAATTTAAGGAAAAAAGTAATTGTATGCTTATGATCTAGGAAATAAGCTGCTCGCGTTCATATTTAAAATTTTATTTCCTTTTTTAAGCAGATAAAAATATACATATACGTCTGATTATTGATTATGTCCACAATTTAGTTTATTTAATGCCGGCCATCATCATATATTTACGTCCTTTTAAGAATTCGCAAAGTTGTTATCGAACCCATCGAAACTGTCGAAACAATTTTTGAAAAGTTTCGACTATTGCCAAAATGGATTTAGGGTTTTGCCCCGCAACTATACATTGACCCCGGTGCGAAGCAACGGGTTACAGCTAGTAATAAATAAAATAAAGTATATCATTTTAATTATTGACCGCCGAAATGCTACGCCTTACGATTATACAACATCCTGTTTGAAAATAGTAATGATTTTATTTTTGGCAACCTTAATAAAAATAAATATAGTTTCTAAATATACTTTGTTATGTTATTTGACTCATTTAATAAATATAATATATTGATTATTTAAAAATAAAAATATTTAAGATAATACTTTTAAAGCATAAACGAACGTAAATTTTTAAAAAAAGAATTTCTTATTCAAATTTAATATAATAAAAGTAAGAGTCTAGTTTCCAACCCAACTATAAGATTAATTTTGTTTGTTTAAATAAGCTTTATCGTTATGTTTTGATAATTTTTAATAACAATTCAGAGCTGCGCCTAACAACTTGTGACAAGGTGACACCATACAATTTATTATAAATTTTTAACCATAAATGAAAAATCCGAAAAGATCATCGTCTTTTTCATCCTAAAAAAATGTCTTCCAAATTGTGGAAACCACCGTTTTTTTTCTTTTTTTTTCTTTTTTTTTTTTTTTAATATACTCCGAAGAATATGATATACTTGACTCCAGTGAATTTTCTGATATCAAACTTCTTGTTGGAGAAGAATCCAATGCAAAGGTTTTTCATGCACATTCCTTAATTTTAAAAATACGTTCACCTTACTTCCGTACCGCTTTATCAAACGATTTACTAAAAAAAGAAAATGATATTATTATATTTTAAAAACCGAATATTTCTGTTGAAATTTTTGAAATCATTTTAAAGTAACTTAACTTTTCTCGATATGAATTTTAATCATATTATGAAACTAACGAATTTTATTTAATTAATTAGGTACATTTATAGTGACGTTATTGACCTTTCCAACAATGATATGAAAACAAATATTGCGATTTTAGTTGCAGCTGATGAATTATGTCTTAACGACCTGTGTACTTTTATTGAAGATTATCTTCTTGATGACGAATCATTATTAAAACAGAATTTTGTTCTCATTCAAGATGTTATAACTAAATTTACCCAATTTGGTAAATTGGTCCAATTCTATAATATTTCTATTCAACAAGATCCCTCATTAATCTTTAAAGCAGATGATTTTGCAACAATCAAACAAGAAATTCTTCTTAAAATTCTTGTGGAAAACAATCATTCTGAAAAATTTATTATAGTTTGGGATAAATTATTAGAATGGGGTATTGCGCAATCCGATGAATTACCGTCAGATACTTCAAATTGGACGCATAATGAAGTATTAATAATTGGAACAATTATTCAACCATTTATACCATATATTAATTATAAGGAAATTAGTCCCGCAGATTTCGTTCAGAAAGTCAAGCCATTCAAGAATGTCTTCGATATTGATTTCTATGTTCAGATACTTGAATATTATTCTTTTGGTGATAATGTTCATTCAAAATTATATATTAATATTAATTCTAAGGTTATTGATTCTAGGATAATTAATTCTGACCAAGCTCCTTTACTTGGTAATTTAATTAAAATGGCGAAAAAAGATAACTATAATACTTCTTATGATTTTAAACTACTCGTCCGTGGAAGTAGAGATGGGTTTGAAGTAAAAAATTTTCATAAATTTTGTGACGAAAAAGGACCTACAATTGTTATTGCCAGCGTTAAGGATACAAACGAAATACTTGGAGGATTTAATCCTTTAAATTGGACATCAGTTACTGGTTTTAACAAAACTAAAGATAGTTTTATTTTTTCACTGGACCAAAACAAAAAAAGTTTCATCTTCAGTAAAGTTGTTGAAGAGCGGTATGCGATTTTTAATAATCGTGAAACTGGTCCAGATTTTGGACGTAGGTCATCTGATTTAAGATTGCGAATACCAATTAAAAAAGGTCAATGTTACATGAATAGCTATGAAAAGCTAATTAGAAAAAATGATGGAGGATTCGAAATAAAAGAATACGAAGTATTCCAAGTAATAGAAAAATCAACTTGAATGTTAAATATTTTCGCATTTGTATTTAGATATAACCTTTATTAGTTCATATTGGTTAACCGAACATTGCATAAAAAAAATTGGGTTAAAGTTTTTAAAAAAGCTGAATTGTAAGCCAAGCTTTATACAACGTAAATAACTACTCTACCCTGTGTAAATAATTATTTTAATTTCTTATAAGATATTGCGTATCTGCTGTTCTGTGTTATTCTTCATAAATATTAAATAAATTTAATATTGCTATTAATATCAAAGTAAAAAAATAAGTCGTTAATATTAATTTATTTCAAAAAAAGAAAAAAATAGATGGTATTACAAACATCTAATTTTTAAAATGGTGTAACTAAGATCTTTTCTTTCTACAATTATCCAAGAATTATTGCCGTAACGAAATCGAAGGGCCTTCGCAATAAAAGAAGGGAAGAATCTTCCGGAAAAATAATTGAACTTTTATATGCCAATTATGATTTGATCGAACTTAATTTTTTTATTTTCACCCTGTATGAAAAAATGTCACGAGACTAATACGTTCCACGTGAACGTAAATCAATGATATCATTTGTAATTATTAGTTCTGATTTTGTGAAAGGTGACACCATGCAGGATAACCCCTTAAATGAGAAAAAATTTTTTTTCCATCCTAAAGAATATGTCTTCCGAATTGTGGAAACTATCTTTCGAAGAATATATTAATATCCTTGAATCCAGTGAATTTTCTGATATCGAACTTCTAGTTGGAGAAGAATCCAATAATAAAGTCTTCAAAGCACATTCCCAAATTTTAAAAATACGTTCAACATACTTCCGTACCGCTTTATCAAATGATTGGAAAAGAACATAAAACAATGTTATTAAATTTCAAAAATCGAATATTTCTGTTGAAATATTTGAAATAATTTTAAAGTAATTCATCTTTTCATCAATATGCTAATTATGTGATCTAACGAATTTTATTAATTTTATTGAATTAATTGGTTGACCTTTCCAACAATGATATTAAAACAAATTTTGCAATTTTAATTGCAGCTGATGAATTATGTCTTAACAACCTGTGTACTTTTATTGAAGAATATCTTATTGATAACGAATCTTTATTGAGAGAAAATTTTGTTTTCTTTCAGGATTTTACAACTAAATTACTTTATTTAGTAAATTGGTCCAATTCTGTAATATTTCTATTCAACAAGATCCCTCATTAATCTTTAAAGCAGATGATTTTGCAACAATCAAACTAGAAATTCTCCTTGATATTCTTGCAAGAAACAATCATTCTGTAAAACAAATTGAAATTTGGGAAAAATTAATGTTATGGATTACCATCGGATAAAACAAAATGGACGCAAAATGAAGTATCAATATTTGGAAAGATTATTCAACCGTTCATATCACATATAAAATTTAAGGAGATTAGTCCCACGGATTTCATTCAGAAAGTCAAACCATTCAAGAATGCCTTCGATACGGATTTATATGTTCAGATACTTAAACATTATTCTTTTGATGATAATGTTCAAAATATTGATTCCAAGATTATTAATTCTTACCTAGCCTTTTAATTTGTAATTTTATTAAAATAGTGAAACAAGATAAATTTATTGCTACATATGATTTTAATTTGCTTGTCCGTGGAAGCAGAGATGGGTTTGAAGTATTGCCAGCGTTAAGGGTACGAACGAAATCCTTGGAGGATTTAATCCTTTAAATTGGAATTCAGATTAGAATGGATTTAGCAATGCTGAAGACAGTTTTGTTTTTTCTTTGGACAAAAACACTAAAAGTTTCATCTTCAGTAAAGTTATTGATAAGGAACATGCAATTTATAACGAGAATGAATTTGGTCCAGAATTTGGAGATGGTAAAGCTGATTTAGGATTGTTTAACCCCATTTAAAAAAGGTCAATGTTACAAGAATAGCTATGAAAAGCTAATTAGAAAAAATGATGGTGAATTCGAAATAGAAGATTACGTAGTATTCCAAGTAATAGTAAAATAACGTGTTTCTTATATTTTTAAAGTATTCAGTTATTGAAAATAAATTCCTTCAGCATATTAGTTGTTATTGATAAAATAATTTTATCAAAAATCAATTTAATTAAGAATTGAAAATTTTAATTAGTCTGTAATTAGTTAATTCATTAATATTTTAAGTAAAACTTTTCATAATCCGTCAAAATTCCTAATATTGGCTGCGGAGCAGTATTCGCGCGACGAATTGGTATAAATAAGTCCGAATTTACATGCTTGCGTGAGATCGTCAAACATTATTCTTTAGTTCTTTACTGACATGGAGGGAATATTTTTACCAGATTATTGTCGGAAAACTCCTTTCTAGTGAAGAAAATTTACGATGTAATTATTCAAGCTGGAGAAGGCAAATATATGAAAAAAATTTTCGCGCACTCATTAATTGTGGGCAAGGTCAACATATTTGAAAGCTGCATTTTCAAAATTATGGGCAGGAAAATAAAATGGATTCTTATCTTAAAGATTTCCGGAGAAACATAGAGTTAATTTTAAAATTCTTTTATCTGGAATTATTAATTTAATTAATCTAAATGGTACAATAGCGTTGAAACTTTTAATCGCAACCGACGAATTGAATCTTCAAAAATTGAGAGATTATATCCAAACTTGTATGATCAATAATCAAACTGAGTATTTAAAAAAGGAACGGTCGAAAATTTTCAAATTATATTTCATTATTTGAGAAAATATCTGTAAAAATCCAGAATCATTTTTTAAATCTCCGAAATTTATATCACAAAAATGAATGAAATTGAAATTTGGAATTATATTCTGAAATGAGGCAATTCAAAAATGTCTACGCCTTTAGATATCGATAATGTATCTCGATGGACATTAGATGGTTTCAAATTCCTGCAAAAGCTTTTTGGCGAAAAGTTAGTCTATTTGAACAAATCTTTCCTAATCAATTATATAGGTATATAATTGGATATCATTTTGATCCTGATACATCACCAAGTACCTCAGTTTTACCCAAGAGATTCAACTTATCTTTTGATTATGTTCTATCACTTCTTAGTAATAGCAGGTTGATTGATAAAAAGATGAATTCTTTTATAATTCTGGAATAATCCTTATTCATTTAAACTTCTTTATCTTGCTAGTCGAGATGGATTTGATGCAAAAAAATTTCATGAGTTATGTGACAACAAAGGTTCAACTATCATGATTTCAAAATTGAAAGAAAATGCTAAATTATTTGGTAGATACAATCCATTAAATTGGAGACCTTATGACGGTATTAAAGATCTTACTAGGCGTGATAAGTGGAGTGGGGATTTACATGATAGTTTTTATTTTCTTTTACAAGTAAATAATATATTAATTCAGGGTACATTGCATTGAAGCTAAAATAATTTCGATTGTTCATATGATTTAAACCGATTGTAGATTATGAAATATTTCAGGTAATAAAAAAACGAGACTCCACAAATTAACTAACTTAAATAGATCTGGATCATATAATATCGTAGTTTCTTCATTTGCGTTAGGCTTTTAGAATAATATTTTGAAATTGAATTATTTAATTTTGAAACTAGAGGTTGGTAAAAAGAAAATTAATTTGAAGTTTAGGAGGATAATGAAGTTTACGTAATATAAAACTTCAGCAAATTGATAAATTACAGTATAAGTACTAATACAAGTAGATCTTCTTCAAATTCTTTTTTTAATGTGAGCTAATACGAATCAGTCTCACCAGGATTATCTATTTCAGATTACATACTTGCATAATATAGTATTAGTATATAATATCCAGAAATAGCCATTAAAGCGCTTTGCAAAAAATCATGTGATTTTTTCTTACAGCCTGTAAGTGAAATTTGCTAAGAACATTTTTATTAACTGATGCATTTACTTTATTAATAATATAACTTATTAAAAATATATGTATCAAATCTCTATTTTATGAATTTTTGGGGTTGAAACTGTTACTACCATTTTACTAGAACTATACTCATTATTTCCAGAGTCAGAACTATATAATATTTTATGAATTATACAGGCTACAGCTATTCTTAATGTTAATAAAGTATGGATAAGCTGATATATAGCACTTAGTGAAATCATATGTAATGGAATTGTTGCCTCCTTTATTAAACAGTACTTATAAATATCTGATTCTTTTTACGTAGCATAAAGTTTTATAATATCACCTAGAAGTAGATAAAATAAAATATGAACAATTTATGAATATATAAAAAAATAGAAATAATTTATATACCTGCAATGTTAATAGTGAATATGGTTAGATTCTGCCTCCTTAATAGTTAGTTAAATATCTTTTTAAGGTTTTTTATGTTTCTCATAGTATCGATAGAATTTTTGAAAAAATATATTAATTTTTTATGATCATGATCCTACTTATCTTAACTGGAATTAGATCTATCAATCTCAAGATAAACAATTTCAAGTTTAGCATTTTTTCTGAATTAGGCTATCATCATATAATCAGCTCTTCAGGTAATTTTACAAGAACCTTTTCATATGGAACTAGCCAAACTCCCTTCTTCACTCCTTAATTTAGAAAACATTAATTATAACAAATATGATAGTAGAGTAATGAAACTTTTTGAGCTAAGCCTACCATATGTCTCATACTATCAGGTTTCCTGGTAAATCACTCATCACTATATTTAATAATGGTGCAAGCATCTCACAAATATATGATCCTTCATTTATCGATTTTCCCTTCTTTATATATGCATTATATTTTAGCGATTTCCAAACCTTGAGTCTATAATTATTTATTGGTTAGTTAGCAAAGTAAAAAATAATATAAACAGATTTTGGTAAGAATTGCTTATCGGTGATTTACATAGATTCTAATATCTATTTTGTTAGATCTTGCAATTCTTCAAGCTTATCCAACCATTCTTTATAATTAATATTACCCAAAACCTCATCTATGTTAATTTTTGATTCTTCATTTTGAATAAATTTTTTATAAGCTTCCATTATATCATGATTTTATTCTAACTTATATTTTTGAAATGGCTAAAAATATTAAAAACTAACCCAGGTATATTTGTAAAGGGTTCTGACTTGATATCTAAAATATCTAAACAAATCAGATTATCGAATTCAAGGTTCTTTATATTTATTTCCTTAAGTTCTGTTTCTATTCTCTCCCATATGATTTTTCATAACTAACGCTTTCATTTTTATATTATCTAACATCATACTTCAAAGATCGTAAATTCGTATTTGCATCTTTATATCAGACTTCAGTATTAATTACTAACGCTTCTATTTCTGAGAGTGAACAAAGATCTTTAAATGCAGTTGCGACCTAAAAATGTATCTAATATTAGTTTCTCAAGACTCATTTGATAAATAATTTAATATTATATCACAAGATCAAATTAGATTTCCATTTTTATAAATCTTCAAGTGCCAGCAAAATGTTTGATATGTAGTTATCATATATGCTAATATATAGTATAAAATTAGTTACTGCTATACGAGAAGTAATAATAATACAACAGATATCAGCCTCTTCACTAGTGATTATATCACACTAGAAAACCTAAAAAAGCATGTCATCATATCCATATATATAGATCATAAAAATAGTCTATCACCTTATCCATTTAGCTAATTGTTTTCTGATACTAAAACTTCAAAGCTTCTTTATCCACTCAATATTCTCTGAGAGGACTTGTTATAAAACTCGCTTTAAAACATTTTTAAAGTTCTCTACCTCCTTTTTGAGATTGCTTGTCCATTCACCTTCCTCTACTCGTACAAATAATATCATAGAGATTTTAAAGATATCAAGAAGCTCTCTAGTTTAAAGAAATTCTTCCATTTACATTTATTTATTATTATTAATAATAAATATAGTTTGTATTATATAATTAATAATACATAATAATTTTAATAATTTTAATATGTTTTAATATCTATATTAATTATATTATATAATATTTACTTTGCATTATATTTTATAATTTTAATTAATATAATACAGTAAGATAAAAAAATCAGAATTTTTTTTTAAGAAATAAAAAGATGAGATTTTAGCTAAATCAAGTTTAATTTAAATTAGGAGTTTGCTATTTATTACCAGAGGTGATTATTACTAGTGTCACGTGACAATATTTATCATGTAACTATAATAGAAAATGAATTTACCACAAACATTTATTTTTATTTCATTTTAATGTTTATTTGACATTGACAACATAAAGCTATTAAACATTTAAAATCCTCTTAAATCCTAATGAAAATTTGCCCCTACTCTAAATTTGCTATACTTTTTGAATCTCCGCTAATCATTCTAAACCTGTTAATATTAAACTAATCAAATGTTGTATAACGTATATAGCATAAATCCCCAAAAAATAGCATATATACTATGAAGACTTGTTTAGACGTATTTTTATCCAAAATATCCAAAGAAGCTTTATTTTTCGTGCAGCTTCTAACTTTTTTCTTTAGACATTAGAAGCTTTATTTTTCGCGTAGCTTTTAACTTTTTTTTAGATATTAGAAGCTTTATTTTTTGCGCAACTTCTAATATTATGACCTTTTTCTTGACAATATCTACATGTCTTGGAAGATGAAGATATATGTTGATTATTATTAGTCATTTCTGTTGGTGCTTTATAGCATTTTGGAGGACGACCTTTTGGCTTGTGGTACTCAGGATTTGATATCTCTAGAATACTATTATTATCCAATAGTTCTAAAGGTTATCGTTGGTAATCATTCTTTATACTGTCATAAGAAGAGACTTCTTGAGCTTCACTGACACTAAGCCCCATTTTGTGTTGATATTTCATTATAAATTGTATAAGTAGTCCAGTTAGTTCTCCTATTGCACTTTCTGCTACAGCAATTTGAACACTAGTTTTCGCTATAGACATTGTATTACTAAATTCAATCCTTTTATCAACCCTTTTCTTAATAGTTGATGTATAAACATTACCAGCTCAGATTTGATCAATGTAATTCAACGGTTTGTTTGAGTAAGTTTTATTTTCTTGAGTAATTATAACGTAATTTGATGTTTCAAATAGCGTAGACTCAAACCAACGCATATGAATGAAACCTATATGGAATATGGCTTTATCAGATTGAAGTAAACCTGATACTGATGTCGACATGGTATTCCTTGGTTAATAATGTACATATATATACAAAGTAATGTTGAATATGCGAAAATTATTATATAGTGTAGTTTAGCTGTTGAAGATGTTATCATTATATAATGGACTTCCCATATCTCCTGGATTTCGTTATTATCAATGCTTGATAGAAGTTCTTGCAACCTGATTTGTAGCATATCATACATATATTCAATAATATCCTTCGGGCTATCAGGTTCATTGATCTTTTAGTATATATATCGATTAAATTAGCATTATTACCAAATACCATATTAAAAAGATTAAAAATTTTGTTTTTTATAGCCACTTACTTGATTTATTGTAATTAATGTTCCCTGGTATAATAATGCCTGTTTCATTTGTGCCCTCTGAAGTGAAAATGGTATAGGTGCTAAAGCTCCTTTAAAATAGAATCAATCCTTTAAAGATAGTTTCGTATGTTGATGGAAGACCAATTGTCAAATTTGACCTGTAATAATTGTTAAGACAGCTGTAATATGCTTCTTTGTCTAATTCATATTCAACTTCTCTTACTAGCTCCTTTAAAAGCGTATCTTAGTCAAGATGTTTTTTAAAAATACCATTGATAGATTCAACCCGTTGAGTTGACTCAACTCCTACTGTAAATATCTTCCTGATAGAATACCCTGCCCATAACTCACGACTTGAATAAAGTTTATTTTCAAGGTAAGGTTGACATGGCTCATATTTTATAAGCATCTCTTTATATCTTACTTCAAATTGACATTGAGTATAGCTATTGCGCATGTGGTAAAAATCTCCAATGAAATTATTGACAATCTCTTCACGCAATTTAGACTTAACTTTTTTCTTTACATTCTCTGTAATATGGTAGATACATAGAAAGTGTTGAATTTGTGAATAAGTCATCTGAACAGCAGATATCATTGCTGGATCACCATCCGTGAAGAGTACAATAGGTGAGAGATTACTTGTGGCTTCCAATATGCATTGCAGTATTCAGGTATAGTCAGCTAATATTTCATACTTTGTTAAAGCTTAAGCAAGTACTCTTGTTTTAAAATTGTTGTCTACACTGACAAATAAGCTAAAGGCCATTTTGTATCAATTTGTCTTAGCTATGTTATCATGTATGACAATATCATGATATTTTGGTCAAAACTCATTACGATGTTGACCTATCATCCAAAAAATCCCAGTAAGTTCATTGGATGGATCAGTGGTGTTCTAGGACATATTAATATATTAATA